GGGGGGGGGGGGGGGGGGGGGGGGGGTACAGAGAGCGTAGGGAAGACCAAACACATAGATTAGAGGAGAAAAATCAAGTCTAAAGTGGAGGAAAGAAATAAGAGGTAGAGGATAAATATAAAAAAAACTGTGAGAAGGAGAAGGGAAAGCTAAAACGAAAAGATATACCCGTAAGGGAGCCTAAATTTTGCCGTCGACATGGGACTGTTGATGTTACTGGCTGCAACGACCCTCCTCTTGGGCTACTGCCAGACGGATGAAAAAGGTAAGGATATAGATATATATTGTTGGTGTATAGAGAATAGTTGTATTGTAAAAAGTAAAGGAATATTCCGTTGTCATGAGATGTATACAACATCAACTTCAGGGGTCATTTTATTTAGTAACATACTATTATTTTCTCGGCTCTGATTCCTCGTTGGAAAAATAAATATTCGTATACAGAGTGTCCCAAAATGAACTGTCATCCTCGTAGGGGTAGTGCTATGGGCTCATTTGGGGATGAAAACTCGAATAACATTTTTCTCTCCCACACTTTATTCAAGAGTTATTGATAAAAAAAGCGAAGATCAACCAAGAAATACGCTCCCGCAAAAAATCCATATCCTCTCTGTCACTTGAAATGGAGGAATGGAAAAGACGGCAATCGATTGAACATTCAATGCGTAATAGATCATTATGAATTTTGTTCTTCTATTGCCAAAACGGAGTGAGAAAAACTGCGACAAAATTCACCGTGACATAAGAGCCATTTGGACCTAACACGCGATGTGACCCTGAAAATCAAAGTCCACGTAAAAAATCCATATCTTCTCTCTCATTCGACATCAAGGCATGTGATTGATTGGAATCGATAGGACATCTAATGTGTTCGCCCGACCGCATTGAATGGAGAAGACGATGTGATTTCTCTAACGGGGAAAAACCTTTGATTGACGATCTTTTTTTATTTGATAACCTCTTAAACAAAGCGTAAGAGAGAAAAATGTTATTAGAGTTTTCGTCTCTAAATGAGCGCCCCGAACTACCGTCATGAGGATGACATTTTACTTTGGGACACCCTGTATAGAAAATAGTTGCGTTGTCCTATCTATACACGGAGAGAAATGTTCAGTAAAAATTACGGAACTCACAATTCACACACCGATTACGGAATCAACTTAGAAAATTTAAGTGACGGTATTGTAATTTTTTACAGGAGATTCAGATAAAAATTACGGAACGTTTCGGAAAAATTCCTACAACCACATTTCGCTCCGGAATTACGGAAAAAACACGTAATTTTTATTGAATATTTCTCTCCATGTAGAAGTTCATACACAACTAAAGTTATTTTAGATCGAAAAGCATTGAAATTATCTCACCACTAATCTCCATGGTCAGTGAGTCGCGTGAAGGCAGTATTGAAAGATTACGCGGTATTTCAAAACTTTATAAACTTATAAATTATTTCCTGCGTCATAGAAGTTCATTTCCTCATGTGTTTCACGGGCAAATGAATTCAATCATCAATTCATCATCAATTTTTTTGTCGAATTTTTCAGAACTAAGTTGCTAATTTTGAAAAACTGACACTTCCAGCAAAAATTATGGTCATAATTCTGAACAGCTAATTATCAATTAGTTGACGTCAAAAAGCGCAAAGGAGTGATCTAAGATGCTTAATTATTTATTCATTTTTCATGAATCATTGATTTTGATAAGTATCCTGACATATAATGAATTTCACTTTTTTAGTTTTTGTAGAAAAAAATTACAGATTCTTCATGAATTGAATGAGAAGAAAGAACTCTTCACAAATAGGTAGTTGGAGAATCCGCGCGCACGGTCTCGTAAGAAGTCAAGGGATATTCTGTTGTGATTTGATCTATACAACATCATTTTATTCGGTACAAATGTTATTATTTTCTCGGCTTTTCTTCCTCGTCTTCGTCCTTTTTTCATTTCAAATACGAGGTCAACGATTACGCTAAACAAATATAAAATGCCATAGGGATTGTGGAATAAAGTGGATTATTATGATTTTATGTACGATAACGAAAGGATGGGGTCGGTGGTGATATCACATAGCATCTCTTTTATCCTTAGCATTTCATACTTATGGAGAGTTATAATGGCAACGATAACAGCCACTTCGCGCTAGATGTAGGTGGTGGATGTACTGGGTTGTGTGGCTTTTGGTGTTTCTCCGCGTGCAACCTGGGCTCTGCGATAATAGAATGGATGGGAAGGAGGTGGCATTCGGCAAAACCCAGGACTAAGCCTTCTTACGCGGGTGATGGTACTGAGGCACTTTACTTCGTAAACAAACATTCGGGATAATTCAGGGGATGCTGGAACAATGAATGAGTATTTTCTTTTGAAGTGACTTCGGGGAGATGTTTGCTCGTTTTTTAGTTGAAATTCAATGGAGAGTGGAACTGGCTTTGACAGGGATGGGTGGGGAAGGGTAATGTTATTGAATTCTGCCATTTGTATTTTGTGCTCGTCCGAGTGGAAGGGAAATAGTAGAGGACAAGTAGGTCATTGGATTTTAGTTTTTTGGTGGAGTTGTTTTTGAGGGAGGAGAATATGGTTTTTGGTGATTATAGTTTTCGTGGGGGATAATGGAGTAATGGGTTTCATTTGCTTTCGATTTGCGGAGGCAATTGTCAATTGAGAGAATCAATTGCTTTTTTGATGAGCGACCACTTACACTAGTGATAGGAATATTTTCCCCAACATGACCATCACTGGAATAAAGTAATAAATAAGTTCAGAATGTTGTTATTGATATCGTCTGCTATGTGGAAAAAGATTTTTATTGACCATTTTGATATTTTTTGGTCAACGAAGTGGAAAAAGGTGATGAACCTAATCTAGGGAACATGAAATCTGGACGAGTTGAGCTCTCTAGAATCATTTTAACCAAATTTTTTAGGACACTTTTTTGGCGCATACGATTTTTGTTTAGTTAGGTAAAAAAAATTCTTTACACAACCCGAGTGGAAATTTCGCTGAGGTTGTTCGAGTCTAAATCAGTTTTAGATCCAATACTGGTCAGGATTTTCTGATCAGATCTCCCGGAAGAGCACGTGGTCAATTTCTGAATAGGTTATCTGAATCCGATATGGCTCAGCCACTTCTGATCCTATTGTAATCAGTCAAAGCTGGTAAAATTAGACTTAACATTCCTGGTCCAGTTCGGATTCGAAATACCTGACATCAACCCTGAGAAGGTGTGGTAGGACATTCTTGATCTTCTGAGGATCCAACCTATCGGATCTGAGGCGTTTCTGAAATTCTGAACCTTTCCTGCTCTGGTTTGAATTCAGAGTATCTTGAACGATCACACATATCAGAGGGTGCTTTCAGGACTGAAGCCATGCGATCCTCCTTCCACGTGTCTGCGGCTTATTTATGGAACTCAATTCCCTCTGCAGTGCGGGACCTTCCCACACTGTCGTCTTTCCGATTAGCTGTACGGAATTATCTGAGGGACAACTCTTAATGCCTTTCCTACCATTTGCTCTCCTCTTATCACTTTCCCTTCCCCTGCTGGCCCAGTCTTCCTATCCCTTCTTATTCCTACACTCTTCCCTCTGTCATCGTTACCTTTTCGCACTTGCTATTCACCCGTTTGTTTAGGACCCGCCGAAGCTTGCTTTTTCCATTGCATATTGCTCCTTCTCATCTTACTCTGCTTTTTATGCATCTATTATTATTAGCATGTATTGTTTACTCTGTGATTTCACTGCGATTTACTGCATACCAGTTAGTGTGGTTCTGCCACCATAATTTTGTACAACATAATATACAGCAATAAAATCAATCAATCAATCAATCGATATCCCAAATTTCGAATAGTCCGTGACTAAGTAATCTTTCCTTTCGGGATTTTCACTGGGCTATACAGAGTACATTCTTCGCTGTTTCACAGTGAAGGACTCCACACGTCAGTGTCGTTACGATCCTCGGAGAGTAAACAGTGCATGGATCATGGGTGACAAAGTAGACTCAAATTAGTACAGGTTACCAGGAGGGATAATGGTGAGATTCTAAATTTTCTAGGTTTTCTAGATTACAAGGCCTTTCTAACAAACTCGTGAAAGGGTCACAGTCTTTACTAGGGGGCTGCACCCCCTGCTCGCTCCACTCGCCAATCCTCATTGGCATCCGCACTGATAAGACAGATTGAATACTGACATTGAGATCGAGCGTCACTGTTAGAAATTTTTTGAAATTTCATGGAAGATATTATAGTAAATCTCATGAGTGACATTGAATCGGATTTAAGGAAAAAATGATTATGAAATTTCACAACTTGATGGAATTTTCAACGGAACATGAATATTCAGAAACAAAATGACATAAATCTTTAATTTTTCCCTGAATTTTCCTAATTTTTTTGAATCTTTACAGAATAATTGAACTGAAAAATCTAGTATTTTATTGATTTCCAGATCATTTGAACAGAAAATCAATGCAATATTTGATTTTTCAATGAATGATTTTTCAAGTTTTCCTGAAATTTCAATGGAACTTGAACACGATAAAAATTTCCGGAATTTGGCACGGAAAATTCAGACGAAAATTTTTAAAAGTGTTAAATCAGGTACTGACCAGACGGATTTGATCGTACACTGGTCAGGGAGATTGGATCCAGTACTGAACAAATAAACTAGATCATGATAATCGTTACAAAGCTGATCCAAAACTGTTTAGAACCCGTTTTTACTGGCCAGTCTCTTATTCCAGGCTGATTTGAATTTCCATTCCGCAAAGTGTTGGACAGTCAATATGTAAAAAGTTAATGGAAAAATAACTCCCAGTCACTTCCCTTTAAAATTGACATATATTTTCACAGTTTATTTATACTTAGTCTTAAATTTTCGAACAATTAAATAATGAAATAAAAATGGACTGTGAACAGCATTAAAATGACGGAAGGTGGATGTAAAAATATAAAAATATTATAGTGCCGCGATATAACTACCCAATACTAGGTGATACCGATGAATACTGAAGTAAGACGAATACTGAATTTTGTGGAGAGCTGTACTGACTCATATGTTAAAAGTCCGCGACATCTAAACGGCAAAGTGAATGGTCTGCAATTGGTCGAGAAAAGTGCGTCAACATTTTGATTAGTTTGTGTATTTGAGGGGTAGAGTGGGTTAAATCGAGAATGGAAATGGAAAGAGCGTCACTAAATTTGGGACGTGTCTGGATCCGAAGCGTCTGAGTGACCGTCATAAAGCCATAAACGACCTGAGTAATGAAACA